CAACTCCTAAATTCAAGTTTGCTAGGTAGACTTAGTGAAATTCTTGTTCAAGAAATGGAAGGTAATAAAATGAAAATTCTTATAAACTCCGCGTCAGCTTCTATTACCCATACAGGTTAATCTTACCTTTAAAAAAATAGCTCAATACTTGCAGAGCAGACTTGAAAAACCCTCCTTCTATAACTGCTTGTGAGGAGAACAGAGAAGCCATCGCCAGAAACCTGGAATGCTCAAATCAGAAACATACAGACACCACAGGGCCTCACACACACAATGAGATGAGCCAGTCCTGTGGCCACAGACGATTAGCAACAGACATTTAGCAAGCACAGTAGAAGTAAGAGGATAATCCTGGGAATTCGTTTGTGACACTGCATTTCAGGTGACCTTGCGACCAGAGTACAAAAGAACTCAGGACAGTCCAGCAACTGGAACAAAGGCTGTAAGACCAAAAAGGGACTGAGCCAGCAGGTGACAATGTGTAGCAGAACTTCCACAGTGCAAAGAAAGAAATTCAGAATGGAGATGATTCCTTAGCTACACTTGACTGAAGGTTATCGTAAGGAGCGATTTAACTGTTGGTATCAGAACTCAGTGTGTATCATGTTTATTGATCGTTTAATGAATATTGTGCTTATTCTAGAATGGGAGTTTGGCTATTCTCAACTAACCTTTTGTAGGATTTATTAAAACTTTTAGGACCTTTTTTGATATATCCTATTTTGATGTACCCTACTCCTATGTTCTCATTTTTCTGCTGGGACTCTACTGATAAAATATTCAAAAATACAATCTATATGCCATTTAATTAACTTTGATAACAAACATGCCTGATACTGAAGATAAATAACACAGCTCTAATCTGTGACCTCAACCTTCTTTTTGATTTGAAAATTACCTACTTTTTGAAGTAAGGAATATTCAAGATCTACAGTTTAATACTCTTAAGTTTGCTAAGATCTCTGTCTCCTTTAGTCCACAAGGTAATCAATGCAAGGATTCTCTGGTCCTTAAGATCATCCTTGCCAATTTTTCTTAATCCAAAAATGCTTTAGAAATTCATGTCAGGATCAATTTTATGAAGGTAAGCTAAGACATTTTCATTTTATGTTTGGAGACTGTAATAAGTGAACAAGACATTGTCCTTGGCTGGAGAGGGGTCTGTTGAGTACAGGTAAGGACACCCTCTAGTTTTTCTGTATCTGTGTAGGTCATTTCAACAGGGACAGAAATGCAGTTTAGTTCTCATTGCCCATAACTTTTGTCTTGAACTTAGCTAACTTTTGTTATCAGATCAAAACTACCACATGCTGTTTAAATCAGAATATGCTAAATTGTTATTCTTTAGCCCTTCAGAAAGCTCTTTCCTGCTAAGCATATTAGTCTTGGGTTTTTTATTTATTATTTTTATTTTTTAAAGATTTTACTTATTTATTCATGAGAGACAGAGAGAGAGAGAGAGAGAGAGAGAGAGAGATAGGTAGAAAGAGAAGCAGGCTTCATGAAGGGAGCCCGATGCAGAACTCGAGCCTGGAACTCCAGGATCATGCCCTGGGCCAAAGGCAGGCGCTCAACCGCTGAGCCACCCAGGCGTTCCAGGTTTTTTAAAAAAGACTTATCCTTTGGAAAGTCTTGCCTAGTTTACCTAGTGAACATAGGCAGTGGATTTTTAAAGAGTTATTGTACTAAGATATATGAACTGAGAGGGCTGTACTAGAATCTACCCTTTAAAAGTAGCACTAGAGTGACCTCCACTGGCCAAACAGCTTTATTGGCTTACGTGAGAGAGAGCTTACCTCTGAAATAACAAAGAAAGAGCATCTGGAGACAGATGTTCTAAATAGCTGAATATGCCAATCCAAATGCCAATGAATATGCCAATGAATCCAAATGCCAAATGCTTTAAAAATTTATATCCACTATTGTAAACATTTCTTTGTTATTTTTTTATAAATCTATGCTGCATATGCCAGTCTAACTAGGCAAAAACTCAAAAGCTTGACAATATAGTCTCTTGGTGAGGCTGTGGGAAACAGGTATTTTCACAGCAAATAGTATTACAACCCCTCTAAAAGGAAATTTGGAATACCTAACAAAACCATATAGGCACTTATCCTTTGACTCAGCAATTGCATGTCAGCCTGAACAGAAACTTCCAGCAATATAAAAATACATATGCAAAGATTATTCAATGCAACATGATTTGTAATTGCAGAATATTGAATGCTTAATAAATGCCCAAATATAGGAAAGTGGTTGAATAAACTATAGTACATATATAACACACAGTGTTACACAGGTATAAAAAAGAATAAGTAAGATCTATAAGAAGGGATATGGAGGATTTTTCAGGATGTTGTTAGAGAGAAACAACTTTTAATAACTGACATCTGTATTAACATTGTTTTTTGACCTAACCAGGAGATAGTTTGAACTTTAGTACTAGAAATTTGTGCTGATTCGGGGATCATAGAGATGGGTGAGGAAGGCATTTTAAGTCTTTGTCTTTCCTGGGCCAGCCCTGTGGAAATATTCACTAATGGATTCTATGTGTGGCAGGTCACTTCTCTCAATAGAGAGAGAGGTAGATACATACAAACATTCATAGGGATCCAAAACAGATAATAAATTGTGTTTACGTTTAGATGTCTGAATTGAACACATATTGACTCTGCCATGTTGCAGTATTTACAGACAAATTATGCTTGAATATAGATGCAACAGGTGGACCAGAGTCCAGTGAGTTTGTTGACTCCAAGATTTTACAATGATCTGTTTGACGTAGGTGTGTGTTGATTTAAATTTCAAGCTTAGAGTGGAGAAGACCTTGTTACTTCCCAAGTGATAAAACCTGCCCCGCATCTGCAGTGGTGTGCTCATATTTCCCTTTCTGTTGTCATTCTTCCCACGGGCTGGTTGTTTTAATTTTTTTCTCATCCTTTACTTTTTCTTCTCACTTTAAATTTCAGAGGTTATCTTTGTTGTACAGCTTTGTTATATTCATGACTTTATAGATTTGTTTGTTCTGTTAAGCTGTGGGTTCCTTGATACTTGCACCTGCGCTGTAGGAACTGGGCACTGAAAAGGTTGCCCACACTTATCCCTGGAGTGAGCATGTGCCTTTCAGCCTAAGATGTCTCTCCTGTGCTGTCTACTGACAAAGCTTCACTATGTGCCAGGGGCAAAGGAAAAACATTTAAATTATCACAGACCAGGTGAAAAGAATGAGCTGCGGCAGTAACCACAAATCTATGTTAAGGTGTGTCTATATACACTTCCTGTGGCTGTTCCTCCGATAGCTTTATTTTTTCTTTTTTTCATTCTCTTTCTCTTCTTCAGTATGTTATTCATAAGTACGTGCACAAGTCTATGAAACATACTTCCATAACCATGATAGATGAATAGATAAATGTACAGGTAGAGGTAGGCATATGGATGACTACATAGCTGGACACAAAAAGAGAAAAATAGAAATAAACAGATATATATATATATATATATATACATAGATTAAAAACTATCATAGTAAGACACATATCTTTTTTTTTTTTTTTTTTTTTTTTTTTTTAATTTTTATTTATTTATGATATTCAGAGAGAGAGAGAGAGAGAGAGAGAGGCAGAGACACAGGCAGAGGGAGAAGCAGGCTCCATGCACCGGGAGCCCGACGTGGGATTCGATCCTGGAGCCCGACGTGGGATTCGATCCTGGGTCTCCAGGATCGCGCCCTGGGCCAAAGGCAGGCGCCAAACCGCTGCGCCACCCAGGGATCCCCAAGACACATATCTTTATTAAAAACTGAAGTCTGAAGGGCATAAATATAGTCACTGGCAATAGAAATTTAGGGAAATTTGAGATGGCATTTCATCTTGGGCATGGTACCTATCTTTGTTTCCAATTTACCAGCCTTTCTCCTCATCCTGACATCCCAATTTCATATCTTTGGAAGCAGGCCCCTTCTCTTTAATTAGTTTTCAAAACAGATAATAAGGATGTGCCAATCTGGGGGTCTGCATATGAATAGAAACACATGTATTTACTCTTATACTTTACACTCATACACATTTTGGTTCTAAGTGTCTCACTGAGACCCAAGGGTCAGCAGCTCTGACCACTGAGGTGTAAGAGCTCTCTTTCCCAGTACCTACTTTTCCCAGTAAGAAATCTCTTGTGTTTCTTTAGGAGTATGCTCATATTTACTTTCTCAAGCTTTTTTTTCCAAGGGGCTGTTTTTGGTGGTGTTAATTTTTTCCTTTCTTTTCATCCTCATCTTGTAATTCTTTATTCTGTATCTCTTTATTATTGTTTTGTCATATTGCCTCATATATTTCCAATAGGTCTGTACTTTTTGTATTTTTAATATTTTTTTTCATTCAGTGGAATAGTCATATATATTAACATAATATCTTTTGCAATCTCTTTCCTTCTTTTAACCAGTTCTTTCAAGTAGGTCATACAGCAATTTATGGTCTAATTTTTGTCTATTCACTAATCTGTATTGAAACCCCAGTGAATTATTTATTCTGCTTCTTCAGGACTCAAATTTGCCATAAACAAATGAGGAAAACAACAGAATTATTCTATTGGAGGTGAATAAAATAAATCTAAATGGTTCTTAGGCATTTTTCTATATAATAAAAAGCATCATTTACTGAGCATGGAAACATTCTTTTAGATCTTTATAAAAAAAGTTTGGCCATAGAGGATCAGATCCATAAAGACTGCTTTTTGGCTTTAATTATTTTAGATGCAAAACTTCATATTTAGAAAACATTAAGACTAGTATTTATTTCTCACTATCATTCATATTTTTTCCATATGAAGACATTAAATTAACATTCTTAAAAATCTCACAATCACCTTGGCAACCCAATAAGTATGCAGGTCACAAATATGATTTTTGCTGATGGAAAAATTAAGGTGCAGAAATGTGCAATGAGTCCAAGTCATATACTAAGTATCTTTTCTTATTGAAAAATCACTTCTATTTCAATCAACTTTTAAATCATGTCTAATAAAAACATCATTTCAACTTTATGGCACGCTACCTAATTCTTTGTAAAAGAGTGAATTTTATATTCTGGGCAAAGGAAGCAGATACTCAAGTGGATTTCGAAATATTGCAAACATATTTTTGAGAGAAATGTTAAGGAACAAAAAATAGCATTACCTGAGTCCCAGAGTTGAGAGTTGAGGGAAGAGCTTTCTCCACACTGGAGACAGTCAAAGGCAAGGTATCAGGCAAAATATATGGAAGAAACAGATTCTCGGATCATGATGGTAATGTTAAAAAAATTCCCCAAAAAACAAAACAATGAAAAACCTAAAGGAGACAGTTAAAGAATGATTACTATATGAATTAGCCAAGGCTCCCCAGAACTCCTAGTTGGGTACCTTTCTATTTTCTGGGCTACCATTTTTGCCAATTCTGAAATATAGGGGTAATCTCATCCTATACTATTTAGTCCCATGATTTAAATCAATCTAGTTATTTTTACCAGACTTCCAAAGCTTTCCTTTGCACATCTTCCATATAGAATTGGATGACGCTGGTATGGCACTTGATGTGCTTTTGTATCCCTTTCTAAGTCTTTGTATATGGTAGTATTTTTGTGTTTTGCCTTAACTACTTTAATCCCTTCCCCTGGCCCCTGGCCCCTGAATCTTCTACATTCTTAGAGATCAAGCTCACTTATTACTGTGTCTGGGATCCCAAGCAGAACCAGATACTCCTCACTCTTGCCCCACATTAGAAAACTCAAACTGCTAGTGTGGAGGTGTGGGGAGGTGGGGTGGATGTGGGCCACAGAGGGAAAGAAGGCACTGAAGAGGACTAATGAGGTTTTCAGCCTGGCTTCCACATAGGATGGAAATACAAGGAACGTTCTAAGCCACCCAGCCCTCTGGAGGAGTGGTAGACAGCAAAGGCATGTGAAAGCTGAATCTAGACTAACTTAAGGTTTTCAAGAGAACCTTAGTCTCTTTTCTATGGGCTAACTTTGCTTCAGAGGCTGCAGACATTGTCACACCAATGAAAGTGGCTGGTCAATCTAACTATGTTGCGTCCCAGGTAATAGTCTATACCTATGCCCTCATTCTTATTTTTCCATGACATGGTAATTATAAAGTCAATCTGCTTGACTATCAATAGGTCATACCGTAATAGGACTCACAGAAAAGTTGAAAGACTAGTACAAAGGTTTTCCATATATCTGGAACCCAGATCCCCTAAATGTTATTAACATTTCACCACATCGTTTTCTCTCTCTGTATACATATACACACGTATGTAAGTGTGTAAGCCATATACACAATTTAAAATTTTCTAGCAGCCACATTAAAAGCAGGTAAAATTAATTGTAATATCTTGTTTGACCCAATATATGTATGGTAGCATTTTAACATGCGATCAGGATAAAAATTAACATCATATTTTCTTTTCTGTCATACAAAATTTTTGAAATCTGGTGTGTATTTTATACGTACAGTACATCTCAATTAGTAGCCACACTTCAAGCGCTCAATAGCCACACACAGGGATGGCTACCTAATGGACAGCAGAAATACTGATGATCTTTCAAGCTATGGGACTGGATGAGTAAAAGACAGCCCAGGACTGGGTCTTGGAGCACTTGAACATTAAGGATGCAAATCAAAAAAAAAAAAAAAAAAAGAGGAGCTGATAAATGAAACAGCAAGTGACAGGCTAGTCGACTAGGAGGAAAACAAGGCAAACATAGTGTCAAGTGGCCATAAAGGAGGAGACTGTCAACTGCATCAACTGAGGAGGAGAAGTAAAACGAGGACAGAGAAGTGATCCCTGTAATTGGGAAAATGCAATTGTTAGACATCTTGGCAAGACTGCTTCAATGGACTGGGTGCTGCTCTTTTAGAACTGAAGAGAGAACGGGAGGTGCAAAGTGGAGACCTCATGTGCGGACATTTCAAAGGCCACAAGCTCCAAACTAATCAATCTCCTCTGATGCTCTCCCCCACTCTCCTCCTATACTCTGACCTCTGTTTGAGGCCTATGCTAGATACCTGGGAAACACTGACTCCGTTTCTTTCAGACCTTGTATGCCATTCACAAAGACATCCCTGTTTCACCTCCTAAATACTTACTGTTCTCCTTTGCTCCGTCCATATTTCCTCTTGCAGGCCCTTGCCACCTCTAATCTTCCTGATACCTAGTACTCCTCGCTGAAATTAGATCTCTAGGACTGTCACTCTCAAAATCCTTTTTGTAAAGCCTTGAGACATGCAGAAAGGTGGGTCGAGAAGGGGGCCGGGATCGGGTGGTGCCGCCAGATTGAATTTCTAAAAACACAAATCGTGTATTCTTGCCATTCTGCTACAAAAAAACCTTGCATGGCTCTTTGTGGAACAGCTCTAGTGTTGCTACTCTTGGATTCCTCTCTCAATCCCAAATACACACACACACACACATCCAGTTCTGGTTCATGCTAGCATTTTTATTATCCCTTCTACCCACCCCTCCGCCCTCTTCCAGTAACCCATCCCCTGAAACAGGCAGCACGACCGGCTCATTTTCACTAATTCTTTTTTTTTATTTAATGATTATATATCATTATATATTATATGTTACACATATGTTATATATATATGTCATATATATATATATATATTCTTTCATCCCCCACTTCAAAAATTCCCTTGTCTATGTGATCAATGACTGTCAAGTGGCCAAATCCAATGATCAGTTGTTGTGTCTTATTTTTGGTTCTCCTTCCTCCCTGCAAGCTCCTTTTGCATCCCCTTTTGGTAGTTTCTCCTCACCTTGCTGACCTTGCAATATTGCAGTTTCTGTTTCTATTCAATCCTTAAGTGATATTTCCATAAATGCAAAAACAATCAGTATGCTTGCATTTTCTACGTTTTTATTTCCAACCTCGATCTTATTTTTGAACTTTTGAGTCACACTTCCAAGTAGCTATGTAATACTGACATTTGCAAATTTAATAGGTAATTTTCATTCTCTCTCTCTGTGTGTGTCTCTCATAAATAAATAAAATCTTTAAAAAATAATGCCACTGTTCTCTGTACCCCTTTCTTAACACCAACTTCCTTGCCAGTATCAGACACTCTATAAATTTTGCTCTAGTAATTCTTTCCTAGCTTTTTTTATAAAAAAAGATTTTATTGATTTATTCATGGAGGCACACACACACAGAGAGGCAGAGACACAGGCAGAGGGAGAAGCAGGCTCCATGCACCGGGAGCCCGACGTGGGACTCGATCCAGGGTCTCCAGGGTCTCCAGGGTCTCCAGGGTCACGCCCTGGGCTGAAGGCGGCGCTAAACCGCTGGGCCACCGGGGCTGCCCAGTAAATGAAATCTTGGAAAACTATTGCCACATTCACAAACTATGCTCACCACATTCATCCATTCATCATAGTTTTTTTTTTTTTTTCCTTAAGTACCATCTTTTGTCATTGTTTCCAACCAAACTGCAAACTCCTGGAGGTCCGAGAGCTCGTCTCCCGACATCTGTACCCGGCAGGTCAGCGGACACACCGCCAGGTGTTCAATCCAAAGTGTGAGTGTGACCAGCTGTCAGAGGCCGCGAGAAGGGGGGCGCGTCTTTCCGCGTCTCCGGGCCTCGCCGGACGGGAGGCCCGCACTTTCCCGGGGCGGAGCTGCGCGGCGCCGCCACCACAGCAGGGCGGGAGCCCACAGGGGAGCCACCGCGGCAGTCCCCGGGGGCGGGGGGCGGCGGGCGGCGAAGCCCCGCCCCCTCCCCTCCCGCGGGCAGGCCGCGCCGGCCACGTGACCGCGGCCGCTCACGTGAGCGCGGCCCTGCGTGACCCGCCGCGGCGTCACGTGAGCGGGCGCGGCCACGTGAGCGCGTTCCCGCGGGGGCTCTGGGTGTGCGGCCTCGCCCCGCTGTGCGGCTGCGGCGTCCCGGGCTTCCCCGGGCGCGATGGAGGAGGACGAGGAGGAAGCGCGGGCCCTGCTGGAAGGCCGCCCGGATGGGGCTGGCAGAGGGGCCCCCGGCGTCCCCGGGGCGCTGCCGGCAATCTGCGACCCCAGTCGCCTGGCGCACCGGCTTCTGGTGCTGTTGCTGATGTGCTTCCTCGGCTTTGGTGAGCTTTCTGGCCTGCCGGGGTGGGGCCGAGAGGCGAGAAGCTTCCGATTTTCCCTGGGAGCCCCGAGATCCGCGCTGAGCTCGGAGCTGCGACGCGGGCGTCTCGGGGTGGCGGTCGGCGTCGGCTAAGCTGGGCGAGTTCTGTCTCTCTCTTGCCCTCCAAGAGGGCTGGTAGCTCGCCCCCTGGGGCCATGGATGTGAAGGAACCCCCGCTTTGTCAAAGCCCGTGGCCATACATTGTTAAGAAGGAATTCAGAGGGGCGGTCCGGTGGCTCAGCGGCTTAGCGCCGCCTTCGGCCCAGGGCGTGACCCTGGAGACCCGGGATCGAGCCCCACGTCGGGCTCCCTGCGTGGAGCCTGCTTCTCCCTCTGCCTGGGTCTCTTTCTCTGTGTGTCTCATGAATAAATGAATAAAATCTTTTTTTTTTTTTAAAGAAGGAATTCAGGAAGATTGAACTCTCCACCCCTAAGACACCCCCCCCCCCAAGCTTTTAAAGGACTAATACGTGAGCGGTCTCTTTCTTGTTTCTCATCGTCTTTGGGTAAACCCGTGAATGTGCCCTGCCGGTGGCTGCAGTAACTAACTGGTGTGGTGTGTCCCCTTGCTGCTCCGCTCTGCCGCTGGTGAAGGGACCCTCCTGGGTTTGCCTGGGGGTGGTCTTGGCGGTGTTCGGTTTCAGTTACGAAATCTGACGACTCTGAAAAGTTCTTGAGATGATTTCTAAAACGTCTGCTTGTATTCATTCCCGCAACTGATGTGTCCAGCATTCTCATGTCAGTTTGGTATGGTTTTAAGAGGTGGTTATGGGTTTCTCAGGGGCGTTTGCTAGAACCTGCTAGAATGTGTAATCACCATTATTGTGGATAAGTTTATGCTGCTGTTGGAAATATGTAAAAAGGCTTCCATGAAGGATGCTTTGGGTTTACCTCCTTTGCAACTCTTGGTTCACCCCTTACCCCACACTTTGTGGAAAGGTGATGCCTGTCCAATAGCTTTAAAACATGACATTGGTATCCTTTACAGCAATTAAAACAGGAATCATAACTTTCTGTGTTTAGAAACCAAAAAACCTAACATACAAAGCACTTAAAATTACCTCTATTCAAGCAGACAGATTATTTTGGGTAAATTATGGTTAACTGCCTGATTTTATTATTTTTTTAAATTGCTGAGAAATTTTTTTTTTAAGGCTTTATTTATTCGTGAGAGACACACAGACAGGCAGGGAATCTTGGGAATTCTGTTTATAGATCTAGATTATTGTTTCAAATACCGACTCAGAGTAGTTAAACTCCATTCCTGTACTCTCATGGTAGGTGGTGACCTCAGGTAACATTATTAGGAAACTGCTGAGGGTGTTTGTGAAATCTTTAGTGTGTGTGTGTGTGTGTGTGTGTGTGTGTGTTTTGGTAGCTTTAAATAAGGAAAACATAGCTGTTTCATGAAGATGCTAAAAAAGACAATTGTCGATTGACTTCTCTTAAGGTTCCCAATATTTGCTGTTTATGCACATAAGTTGAAAACGATTTGGCATGTTTTCTCTGCATCATTTGGCTACAACGTAGAAAATATTAGTGGAAAGGAAGTGGTCCACACTGTCCGTCCTTGAGCCCCTCATTTAAACATTGAAAATCACCAATTGAATAATATTTGCAACTTGAAACTTCTACATAGTATTATTACTTATAAAATGTTTGCTCTTCCTTATTCTAGGCAGCTATTTTTGCTATGATAATCCTGCTGCCCTTCAGACTCAGGTTAAGCGGGTAAGTTGATTTTTACTTTATTTCTTGTGTTGGCTCTGGAGTAGGTTTAACTGTTGAGGCATCATCAAGCCTCAGATTGCCTGGCTGAAACGTCCGTTGAATCCATTTTAACATCTGTAGTGAAATTCATGTGTAGTAAGGAGTATTCTTGAGTTGGAATGAGTGGCCACAAAGAATTCATTTATAACACTTGTGACTAGATACTGTTTTACACTTTAAATAAATGAGTGCTATTTCCATAGAATTGCCAAAAAATATTAAGCAGATTTTTGTTTGTAATGCACTTTCCAATTGCATAATCATCTGAATGACAAATGATTAGTAGAATAGCTTTTTGCTTTCTTAAATATATCTTTGTTATTCATTCATTTTTTTTTTTTTAATGTGGATGCTGACCGCAGAGGATTCTCCATGTCAGTATCTTTAGTCTGGTTTTGTAAAAAATATATTTGATATTTATAGTTTCTTGTGAATTTAGATAGTTTTTTCTTTGTAAGATTTTATCTTTGTACAGAAAGAAAAAGATTAGCCCTTAACATTCTAAAGTGAAAGGAAAAGAAGGTAGGATTTGGGGGGTGCATAGGGACGGGCTAAGATTATCTTTTCCATGTGGAAGGAATACAGTGCGCATGGTATAATGGGAATAAGAATGGAGAAGATACAGGCAGATGGAGATGGTCCCAGTATTGGGGGATCTATTGATCCTGGATTCCATAAATGCTCTGAAAAGGCATACGGACCCAGGGGTCCCAAGGATCACCATTTTTCTGTGATAGGGGCTATAGCTGTCATGAGATTCTCAAAGCAGTTAGTGACTATAAATGATTAAGAAACTTCTGTCCTACACACAAAGAATGTTTGATTTGTTGGTATACTTAACTTTGGAAAAAAAAGAGTTTTATTTTCTTCCGTTATAGGATATGAAGGTGAATACCACGAAATTCATGCTGCTGTATGCCTGGTATTCTTGGCCCAATGTAGTTTTATGTTTTTTCGGTGGCTTTTTGATAGATCGAGTATTTGGAATACGGTAAGCTTGAGAAACATCTCACTGTGGGTAAAATGTTATTAGGAAAACACAGAAGTAGATTAAGGCATTCTATAAAGATAAAGAGAAAAATAAAATTCTGTATTGACTGTGATAACCTACATTATTATTATTATTATTATTATTATTATTATTATTAAAAATTTTGAAGGGTTAAGTAATAAAGGAGGAATTAAAGTTATTTTGCTTGGTCTGAAGGGATGGAATTAGCTTGAAACTTCAGGGAGACCGATCCTACTTAGTATGATGTAGACTTTGGTGAGTGTGATGAAGGGCCATGAGTTGCCTTGGGACCACAGCCAGATGGCCATTTCACAAGGATCTTGAGAGGGATTTCAGTTTCAGAAGTAGGATTTACTCGTAGAGTCTTTGAGGCTTCTTCTAATACTGGCATTTTATTACTCTGGGACATTAATGAGAGATTTGAAGTATAGAATGTGTGAGTGAGCAGATTTGCAATTGTATTAACTTGGTTGATACTTGTCCTTTTAAAAATAATTATGCTAAGTGAAATAAGTCAGAGGAAGACAGATGCCATATGATTTCACTCATATATGGAATCTAAACAAAAAACAGAGCCATACCTATATAGAGAACAAATTGATGGTTGCCACAAGGGAGGGCATGGAAGGTTGGCCAAAATGGATGAAGGGGAGTGGGAGATACAAATTTCTAGTTATGGAATGAGTAAGTCACAGGAATGGAAAGGCACAGCGTAAGGAGTATAGGCAATGATATTGTAATAGTGTTGTATGATGATAGACGGTAGCTATATTTGTGGTGAACATAGAGTAATGTATAAACTTGTCAAATCATTATGTTGTATACCTGAGAGTATTATAACACTGTATTAACTATACTCAAAAAACAAAAACAAAAATCAATAAATAAAATAAAAATAGTTTTTAGTTGTCGGGAATTATAACCACTTAAAATTACTTAATCTTTGAATAAATTCTAAACTCTTAATAGTAATTTTGTAAAGAATGTCCATTTTTTTTAAAGATTTTATTTATTTTAGAGAGAAAGAGAACATGCTGCTGTGCGTGCAGGAGAGTGGCAGACGGAGAGAGAGAGAGAGAATCTCAAGCAGACTCCCCACTGAGCATGGAGCCTGATGCGGGCTCCATCTCACCACACTGACATCATGACCTAAGCTGAGCCAGAAGTTGGATGCTTAACTGACTGAGCCACCAGGGCACCCCTAGAATGTTGATTTTCAAGTGGGAACCCTGGGAACTTCTTGAAGATTACTTAACAAATTTTGTTTGTTGAAGAGTTGATAACGGTTTAAAAATGTATGCCATTCTCTGGAATCCTCTTAGAAGTCAAGACTTCTGTAGATTAATATTTAGCCTAGGAAAGCTGCTGACTTTAGAGGCAGACTAGCACTTCATTTTTTTTTCCTGGAAGAAATATGTAGGGGTCAAAGAAAACTGGAGTGAATTATTACTGAAGGACTTGGTGACATAGTCTTAATTCATTCTCTTTCTCTCTCTCACAGATGGGGCACCATTATTTTTAGCTGCTTTGTTTGCATTGGACAGGTAAGAAAGTCCAAAACATCCATTGATTATGTAACAGTGACTTTTGAATTCTTGTCTAATTCTACCAGCAAAAATGTGTTTATTGACTACCTGACTTAATTAATCAGGGCCCACAGATGCCCATGTAGCATAATGCAGAGTCCATTTTAAGCCTTGAGATAGATGAACATTAATATTTAAATTTCACAGATTTACTAAGAGGGAACATTAAAACCATTATAGAAGTTGTGATTTTTTATTATTTA